ACTCGACCGGCAACTTGTTTAAGGCTTTGAACAGCAAGCATTCTATGACAACTCATTTCCAAGGAGGACACATAAACAGGCTAAATTGGATTTTTGTGCAGGATCGGGTGTGAAGGTATCTTCTGAATGTGAAGAGAAGCGTAGCTGCTTATGTGGCCATTCACATATCGCATCTTTTGCATGCGCAAATTCAAAATTTCTGATGGAGGCACGTGGCTTGTGCACGCTTGCATTTTTCAGGTGAACCCAGTTGAAAAATGAATCACTTAACAAGAAATAACCAATCAGTTTCATACCTTGTGTGAAATATACATATTTTGGTAACTACTTCAGACAAAAAGTATTAGTTTTCTTCTTAATGTCTTTTGTTGTAAAAAAAAAAAAGTAAATAAAATGTAAAGTAAATGATGAGAGAATTTTAAGTTTTGGTTGAACGATCTTTAAATTTTTTGAATATGTCAAGCTGCTGTGATCAACCCATTGTAATGTTTTTCAGTAAATATTAAACTACTGAAAGAGCTGCAGTTTATTCTGTATTTTTATAGGTGTATTTTAAATGTTTTAAAAGGTAATTCAAAGTAAAATAATTGGTAATCTGATAACTTTTTACATGAAGTAATTATCAGTATCAGAAGTAATGTAATCAGATTATAATTTCCCAGTAGTAGTCAGTAACTTGTAATCTATTACTTTTTTTAAATTACTTACCCAACACTGCTGATTGGCTTTGCTTATAACAGTTGGTCCAGTTCAAGTTTTACCCCAAATATGTATTTCTATCATGTATAACAACAATCTGTAAGATTGTATTAAAAAATAAATAGGCAAAAATAATAATTTATATAAATATAAAAAAATGCATTTAAGTAAGATATTGTGAAATCAAGTTTTAAAAGTTATTTTCTATTTTCTATAAATGAATACATTTAAGTATTGCAAATATTAATTACAGTGTAATTAATCCAAATATGTAGTCAATTTATTATAATAGATAATATTACAGATAATATTTCTATTAATATATTTCATTATATATTAATATAATACTTGTAATAAATATTAACATTAATGCCTTTATTCTTGCGATAGCAATGCTAATTTAATTTCTTTGAAATACATCCCTAATGCTTAAAATGGCATTTAGCTGAACAATTAATAGTAAAAACAAAAACATTGTATTTGTTTTTTATTTTATTACTCATTTTTTCTGACTTTCATTCAGCAGAAAGTGATTAGTTAATAATGCTGCTTATTGTTTTTGCAAACTGCATACTTTTTTTTAGATTATTGACAAATAATGATTTTTACATTATAAATGTCTTTACTGTCACTCTTCAATTTAATGCATCCTAGTAAACATCTTTTAAAATCTTTTATTTTTGAACTTTCTATAGACATAAAACTTTAGTTAAGGACAATTCAACCTACAATTAGCATTTTATTTTTAAAAAGTCAGTTATTAACGATTACAATCCGGAATCATATTTATCGCTTTGCCTTATTATAATCAAATTACAAGCACAAGTCTCCACCTATTAACTTACAGTATACAATAAACACCAGGGTAAAGTTTTTAAAAAGCACAAATCAGTTTAAGAGAGTTGTCTGTTGTTCAACCTAGTATTGGATAGAGGCTACATTTAAAGGGTCATGTGAACAACCTCACAGAAAAATCAGATTTGAGCAGAAAATCCGATTTGGGTCCCATTCAGCTGCGGTGGAAAGGCCTTAGTAAACCGTAACTGTTTTCATAGTGGGTTTAATGGATGGTGTAACTACAACTTACAAAACCTCTCAAGACTTCATGTACATCTCTTTTCAGTCAGTTTCTCTAGTTAACCGTCCAAAGTTAAAGTAAATCTACCAGCAGGGTGAGCTTTGACACTCATGTGACTGAGCTTTAGCATGCTAGTGCGTCAACCTCAAATCAAACCAAGCCTGTCAGAAAACACTCATGCACTTTATCTGACCTTCACCCTTAATGTGTTTAACAAGGTCAGGATGTCACATAGATTATACGTGCGTGTAAGTATGCTACTAGTGTTTGTTCAAAGAAAGTTTCAGTTTGTCATACAATCACAAGATCAGTCTCCATTTTTTATTAAAAGTCCTGAGGGAATATCGTCCTTCAAAAGATGTCACAGGACTTTAATAATGTGGGTAATAAAGTGTTTCTTGGAACTGGTGTAGAGTAGAATGAGCTTGTGTCTCTATCTCTGGCTTACTTCTAAAGTGAGAGTGTCGCGGCTGCAGTTGTGTTGTGATGTTATGACAACAGTGTGCGGTAATGGCTGGAGAGTGCTGGGCAAAGCTTGGAGCACGAGCGCTGGTAATCATCTGTTCTTTCGCTAGCAGAAAAGCCTCACACCCAGATTTCGAAACGATGTAAACCTCTCTGGAACGACTGGGAGGGACCTGCTGGAACATTAGCTATTGAAATTCACTGGAGATCGTGATAGGAGATGATTTCAGCTGAGTTTATCTTTTTCATTGTGCTCGTGGTTTTTCTGTCTGAAAACGCCAAGAGCGTGCTTTAAATGAATATGCAAATGAGTCTATAAAAATTAGCATAGTCCTCTATTACTCTTCTTGCGCCTATTACTTGAAGAGCAAGCTAATCTGATTAGCAAAATTACTGACTAAAGTCTTTTTTGTATCACAAAAATACAATTGTGGTTTCATGATTAGCGAATTAGCTACTGTTTTCATTGTCACAAGTGGGGTTTTTTGTACACACACACACCTTTCAGTTGACATTTATTTCAAGTAACAAAAATGGTTATGATTTTGAATTAAGTTTTAAAGATCACCTATGATGTAAATCATCTATTGGAAACTGTTTAGACAGAACTGTGTGTAGGTATAGTGTGTCCACAGTCATATTAAAGTGATAGAAACACAATAAGTCTCTTTTTTATTTCCTGACGTTAAATTATATCCAAATCCCTCCCTCCCATTTTGAGGCCCACCTTGACATAGTAGTGCGGTTTCCCCCGCCCACTGAATTGATTTACAGAGGAGTATTTAAATATCTCCAAAATAAGTAAACCTGATGAAAGTCTGCAAGATGTTACAAATGCAGTATATGAATGTTTTTAGATTCGTTACAGTACTGTTAATCTTGATAAATCCCAGCTGTTAGATACATAAATTATAAAATATTTTAACTGGGTGTTATGTAAATGTTACTCCAGACTTAAAATAATTGACTGTATTTATAGTTGATGTATTATTTGTTAGAAGTAAATTTCAAATAACATTAATAAAATAAAATGTTTACAATTAACAAACAGTAAGTACTAGGGCTGCACGATATGGGAAAAATATAACATTGCAATATTTTTTTTTTCTGCGATATACAGTATTTTGCCATATTAATACAATTTCAGCAGATGACATGAATAGCTCTATTTGGAATGAAATCATTAATTTTGATTGGAATAATCATGTAGAGGAGTAAATCAAAGAAATTGCAAGTGTAAATAAATAATAAAGAGCAAAGATAAAAGTGAAATAAGTAGTCAGATATTCAGGTACAGTAATACGATAGAATTTGATATTATCATTATATTTCACAAGAAAACCATCCCCAATATATCATATTTGTAAATCAAGGGGGAAATGCATGCATTATAAGATGTATTTTATTAACAGCACATATATTTTGTAGAATTTATATATGTTTGATCTGACACTACGAGAAGCGCCACCTCATGTACTGTCACCTAAAAGGTAAATGGTAGAAGCGCAAGGCTGATGAATTAGTTCAGATCTTTTGTACCTTTAAAGAAATATCAATATTTGACTACATTAATATTGTATTGCTGGTGGAATTATTACAATAAATCAGCATCAATATTTTGTCCTGGCCCTATTATTGGATAATCACATGTAATGTAAAATAACACTGTGCATTCTTCATTGCTGATCAACTATAATAATCCTAACTCCACATTGCAGATGCTGCGATGTGACTATTGCGAATGCACATGTTGCGATATCGATACTGAAACGATATATTGTGCAGCCCTAGTAAGCACATTAACAATAACAGATATTGAATTTATAATATATATAAAACTAATGTATGAAAAAACTAAACTTTGTTGAGAAACAAAACACTGATGACACGATATGCGTCTTTGTACAGAACCAAGGACGCCCTTGCGTACTGTGGTGAGAAAATCCTACATGTCAGACAAATAAAGCGAGTCAGTGTGAATCAGCGTCCCTTATGGAGACATCACTGCTGACAAGGGTAGAGCACGTTACAAAAAGAGCTGCTGAGGAAGAGAGCGAGAACAAGCAAAAGAACACTGACAAACACAATAACAAAAAAAAAACTCTTCATTTTGTTTCCCTCCCTCACATATTGCAGGATCTCTTAAATCGTTCCGACACACAAATGCACAAATGTCCTCAGGTGTTTCTGAATGTTGTTTTGACTCGCTAGCAAATGCCATTAGTTGTAATTGCTGACATTGCGGACTCATTTTCAGCATACGCATGAGAGAGCGCATAGCTAAGGCACAGAACTGTGTGCTGCCCGAGGGCTCGCTTTCTCCCGGAGCCGTCGCTTGTTCATTTGCAATCGTTAGTTGAGCCAATCTTTCGTTTGTGAGCAAAAGAGAATGAGAGTACATTTCTCAAATTAAAGAAACTCGTTTAATGGCGACGTTGAGCTCAGATTGTGCATTAAGCCCCAAATTGAATTAGCTGCACCAGAGTCATTTCTTTTTCATTTGCTTTTAATAGGTAAATGTGCAATCGAGGACTAATAAGTGTGTTTTTGTGGGTGTACATGCCCACGTACATGAAGCGGTGTATCTAAAGCTCATACACACTCAGACTCCAGTGAGTATTTAGCTAATGTACTGTTTAATAGTGAGTCACTGCTAGGTATTTCTGTTATTTGCTCTGTTTCTAATTACGCATCCTTCATATTTTCTGTTGTGCATCACAGCAGTGAGCGTCCGTGTATTTGTGTGTGTGTGTTGCAGTGAAAGAGGAGTGCGTGTCGGATGAAGATGAGAGGAGCAGAGATGCTTTGGTTGAGGAGATGCTCCAGCAAGGAGACACCGCAGTCATCTTTCCAGAGGCTCCAGATGACGAACCGCGACAGGGCACACCAGAAACCAGCGGACATGATGAAAATGGTACAGTCCAACAGTAGTAAAAAAAACTTCAGTTTACAAATTGGCGCATGGTATTTTCATGCCAAATACATGTGTAACTGGCTTCAAAATATCAGAAACACATGTTGCTTGGATTGCTTTTATAATGTGAACACTAATCGAATGTGGTGGAATGACCCACTGTTTTAGTCTTTTGAGCTCCAGTAATGATGATGAACACTGATGTACACTGTAGTGATCAAAATAGACTAATTCAACTTTTTTTAAGTAACTTAATGCTTTAACCAAAGAGTGTATTAGCTATTTCATCTCAGTATGCTACAAGTGATGGTAAAAAAAAAAAAGTATATTAGTAAATCCCTCATCAGGAAATGTATTCATACGGTTTCATTCAGAAAGTTTTTCTTCATAGGGGAGTCGATGAATCATTCTGAGAAATTACAGAATATTATTGTATAAAGGTTTGTCATGATGAGGATTTGTGCTGGTGGTATACTGTTATAAAAATTGTTGTGATAAGCGATATTATTGTCATTTTAGATCATTTTAATATAATGATTAAAATAGAGCACGATAAGGCAAAAAGCCAAAAACACTTTAAAACACTTATTTAAGGTTATTTAGATTTTATAATTTGATATAAAAATGTGCAGTAAATGTCCTATTATATATAATATTAAATAGGGATGCTTAAAACGATCGCTGAGCTGGCCCATCTCATGAACTGATCACAACTGTTTGTTTACGAGTTTACAAGCAGGGGACACATAAGAACTGAAATCTTTTTTACATAGACCTAAACATTCTGTATTTGGGGCGGTGCGGTGGTGCAGTGGGTAGTGCTGGGTTTCCTCCGGGTGCTCCGGTTTCCCCCACAGTCCAAACACATGCAACATAGGTGAATTGGGTTGCAGCCAAAAGGGTATTCGCTGCGTAAAATATATGCTGGATAAGTTGGTGGTTCATTCTACTGTGGCGACCCTTGAATAATAAGGGGATAAAGTGACCCTTGAATAATAATTGGCTGGAAATATTAGGGAAATTTTAATGTATTTATTTTTTTACTTTACTATTTCATATTATAACTTGTTGTAATATACATATTGTAATAAGCAGTAGTTTAGGTACCTATTTCCTCTAAGTAAAGAAGTAATGGGTATATAGATGTGCATTTTAATTCCATATGCGCTCCAAACTTCATTTAGACATGTTGAATTCTTCTTCCATGATTTGCAATGTTTCCAAAATGCTTTATTAGTGATTTTTCTTACCAATTTCTAAAATCAGTTTTTTCTATTTTGTTCTTCTGACCATGACATGTCTACACTAATGGTTTCAGGTGACATGTTTAAGGAATTATAGCAACATCTGTAATTTATTCTCTAAAATAAGTAAGGCAAGATCTCCACTTAAGTATCATACTTGACCTGTACTGAAAATGTGTTTTTGCATTAGCTTGAAGCATCTGAATCAGTAATCAGCTTTGGCCGATCACCATGACAAGAAATTGGTATTCAGTATCGGCTGCAAAAATCCTGATCAAAGCATCCCTGCTATTAAATGTCCTATTAAAAACTTTAACATCGGTCAGGTAAAACGTAAATATCATTGTAAAATTGGTGAATTTGTAATTATATATCGCAACGGCAAACATTTATGAGGTAATCAACAAGTATTATACGATAAATTGATATATCGATATATAGGCCTAATTGTATGATGAATTTATGCTGAAGCCAAGGGTTCACAAGTCTTTGGAACTGTACAATAGCCACACTTCTCTTCCACAGACCACTAATGACTTTGGAATGATTTCATTTACACCTGCAACACCTGTGCAAATCTCCCATACCTGAGCTACTTTCTCACGTCCCTGTTGCTGTTTGTGTGACAGAGAACGTTTCACCTGACTGGACTGAGAAGGTTAATAGGTTACCTGTTAACAGGTAATATGTTACCTGTGTGAGAGCTGGACAGAAACCGTTCCAGGTGTTTTCTGCCCATTTTTCCATTTGAATAATAATTGAAAAAATGTTTTATAAATCTTGATAATGATAATGAACTCAAATTCTTTCCTTAAACGTAGACATGTAGTTAATTTGTTGATTTATATAAACTATAAATGTACTATAAATGGCATTTCAGTTAAACATATGAATGTCTTCATCAATGACATCAAAGAAAATGTATCTCACCAGCATTCCCTGTACTCAATAGACTTTTTTGGCATTTTTCCATTTTAATGTACTGTCAAATCTTCTCAGGTTTGTAATCTATGCTCCTTTTCTATCAGCCTCTACTAGCATATTTTCGCTTACTGTGTTTCCATTTAATCCATTGTGAATCTATATAATTGTTTCCCTCGTTGCCCTGGTATGCCTTAAGTTACCAGCTGCCAATCCTTAGTTCTTTTCATTTTAGCTGCTGCTCTTCATGCTGGAGACATTTCAGCATGTGAAGATGTCACACATTATAGATCTAATTTAACTCTCATATTCACATTCCTCAGCGAATTGATCAATGTGTATATTCACTCATGCATACAGTACATTGCAATAAATGATATCTATGCTAGAAATCCATGCATTGGGATTCTTTAATTACACATCTTCAGAAATATCTGAACAATAGAGTAAATAATTGTAAGCTAATTTGCATACATTTGCAAATACCAATAAACAACAGATTTTGTCATGTTTCGGACACAGTGCTCAGCATAATAGAGTACACCCATTTTGAAAATGAATATTTGTATCAGTTCCTCGGTGAAAATAGACAATGTATTTCAGTGTATTTAAACAAAACAGATTTATAAAACAGAAAAATTTATTAAAATTATGTTTTAGTCACCAAACAAATATAGAAATTGAAAGAAAATACAATTAATTTCAAGCAAAATACTGCAAAAACTACAAAAAAATTTCAACTAAATTAAAAATACATATATTTTAATTTTTTTGCTTCGCTTGATTTTTCCTCTTTTTTAAATTTGTATTTAATATTTTTCTTTAATAACATAAATTTGACTGTACTAGTTTTTGGACTGTTATCGTAAGTTATTTTTTTAGATAAGCTTCAGATTTGGCTTCAGTACGGACTAATCTAATGTATATGCACAAATGTAACATTGTATAGTTTCCTATTAGAAATATGAATATTAAGAAATGAAAAGGAGAGTGTTAAAATTATCATATTCAATTCTACTCATTAATATGCTCTTCATTTCATTTCTCTCTCTCTCAGGCACGCCAGACTCATTTTCTCAGCTCCTCACCTGTCCGTACTGCTCTCGTGGCTACAAACGTTACACCTCACTGAAGGAGCACATTAAATACAGACACGAGAAGAGCGAGGACAACTTCAGCTGCTCTCTCTGCAGCTACACCTTTGCCTACAGAACACAGCTGGACAGACACATGACCGCACACAAAGCTGGCCGAGAACAGGTATTCTGCACTTAATCTGTAATATTTGTGAGCATGTAATTGAATGAGATATTTTGGTTAACTACGTTAAAGCTAAAGTGTTCAAAGGGGCCAACTAGCGGGAATAGGTTACAATTTAACACTATAATGTTGAAATCTAAGGATAAAAAAACAGACTCAAAATAGCAGGGTTTAACACATGGGTAATTCACAAGGCTTATATCATTCATGCAAGACATACAGGACAACATTAAAAGCTGTAAAGTGTATAAATGAATGCTGTTAAGCAATTAAACCATGCATGCATTTCAAATAATGGCCATTTGAAGATTTAAGTGCACTTACAAAAACATGACAGCAGTATTGTTCGCTCAAGTGTAATGTATTCTCTCTTGTGTGTTTTTTTTAGCGGCATGTTACTCAGTCAGGTGGAGGAGGGAATCGAAAGTTTAAATGCACTGAATGTGGCAAAGCCTTCAAGTACAAACACCACCTGAAAGAACACCTGCGCATCCACAGTGGTGAGGACTGCTCGAAATTTGCTAGAGTAGTGTATGTTGAATCTGTGTGTGTGTGTGTGTGTGTGTGTGTGTGTGTGTGTGTGTGTGTGTGTGTGTGTGTGTGTGTGTGTGTGTGTGTGTGTGTGTGTGTGTGTGTGTGTGTTTGCAAGCATGCATATACTGTATGTGTGCAGTTGTTTACTTCATTGTACCAAAATTTTAGGCCAATTCGGCATTCAACTACTTCAAAGAACTTCAAGTACTTACTGTCAAAGGCTTCTTAAGAGTTTTTCATCTAAATACTGCACACTTTTATGGGTTTTACTTATTGGAAGGAAAAAAAATGCTTTTTCTGTGTCGTAGTTTCTTCTGAGGACTGCCTATTATATTTCTACATTTATTTGATTATTAAAAAAACTGTTATAAAAATGTTCTGAACAGTGAAACAATAGAGTTAAGTTGAAATACATCAAGTGTTGGTTCATCTGTTCATTTTGTGTTGTGCAGGAGAAAAGCCTTATGAATGCTCCAACTGCAAGAAGCGTTTCTCTCATTCCGGTTCCTACAGTTCCCACATAAGCAGTAAGAAGTGCATTGGTCTCATCTCAGTAAATGGACGACCACGACCTTCTCCTGCTACAGGGGCTGCCAAGACCCCGCAGTGCTCTTCCCCGTCCCTGCCAACCTCCTCCCCTACAGCACGAGTCCAAGTAAGAGACAAACTGGATAACAGCAAACCCCTTCAAGAGCAGCTTCCCTTGACACAGATCAAGTCTGAGCCGCTGGACTATGAGTACAAGCCTGTGGTAGTGGCCCCATCTGCTAGAGGCGTAAATGGCATGTTTCAGGGTGGGGCAGCAGCCCCTCTCCAGGGTGCCGTACAGGCTGTTGTGCTTCCAACTGTGGGACTGGTGTCCCCAATCAGCATCAATCTGGGGGACTTACAAAACGTGCTAAAGGTGGCAGTGGATGGGAATGTCATTAGGCAAGTGCTGGAAAGCACACAAGCTAAGGGGCAACAAGCAGGGACGGGGATTGTAGGAGCAGGAGGGATTGCCCAAGCTACCCAGCAAGTTATCCAAGCCATTAGTCTTCCTATCTTGGATCAGGATGGCAATGCTAAAATCTTCATCAACTATAGTCTGGACCCATCCCAAGCCCAAGCAGTCCTTCAAAGTCCAAAAAAGGAACCATTGGGGTCGAACACTGAGGTCTGCAAGGGTCAGAAGCTGCCTGAGGACCTTACAGTAAAGACAAATAGGGACAAAACCACCCTCACTGTGGATGAGAAGAGCATGTTACACAATGACATATTACTTAAGCACTGTGGTAAAGATGAACATAGGATTAACGGGAAAAATCTTGAGGAGAAGATGGACTTGGAAGGACTGTGTCCTGGTCAGCCTCCTCTGAAGAACCTTCTCTCCTTGCTCAAGGCTTACTTTGCCTTAAACAATGAACCCACTAAGGAGGAGCTGGCAAAGATATCGGAGTCTGTCAGTCTTCCAGCAGAGGTGGTGAAAAAGTGGTTTGAGAAGATGCAGCTGGGACAGATCTCCATAGACCCTTCTTCACCTCAGCATGAGGAGGAGCAAACCACTCCTGTGGATTTGGATGGTACTAAAGGTGCATCACCCAAACCAGACTTAGATGAGCAAATTAACTCAGAGAAGCAAGAGGAGAGGGAGTGCTGTAGCCCAGCGGAGGGCATTGCAGCCAGTGTGAATGGAATCGAGAGTGTCCCTGCATCCCCTTCACCACTAAACCTATCGGCTGATGGTCCTGTCCCAGCCAGGACTCTTGAGGAAGGCGAGGGACCTCTCGATCTGTCGCTACCAAAATCCGCTACTACAGCCTCTGTGGCTAGCGGTCATGCTAACACTGTTTACTCGGCTCAAGAGGAGCCGCTGAATTTGACTTGCACAAAGAAGGAACTGCTCAGTAATGCAAGCACCAATGCTGCCATATATGCCAGCCAACCAAGTGCCAATCCCATAAACATCATGACCACTCAACTGCCCACCCTAGTGGCTATCACTGACCAGGGACAGGCGCAATGTCTACGTGCACTTACCACCACTAAACAGACCATCCTGATCCCGCAGCTGACTTACAGTTATACCACTACATCCTCCAGCCCGGCAGGGACCGACACACCACAGAAGAACATTTTACATGTCAATGGCATCAAGGTGAGGACTCAAATAGACATTCTTTAGCTGGGTATGGATACTTTGTTACATTTTTTAAATACTATGATATGCTTTCTCTCATGATGTAGGAGGAAAAACAGGAGATGGGGTCAGAGGCCACCTCTATATTGGAAGAACAGACAGACTCAGACTCAGGGCCGACCAAGAAGAAGATGAAAAGGACGGAGAGTGGGCTGTATGCCTGTGACCTGTGTGACAAAATCTTCCAGAAGAGCAGCTCGTTGCTCCGCCATAAATATGAACACACAGGTGGGATTCTCATATAGAGATAGATGATAAAGAAAGCAGTTAAGCCTGAAATTATACACAGGTTTCTTCATACACGCTGAGATTTCATAAAAATATGATTTGAAGTGATATTGAAGGGGAATTTATGACAGAGTACATTGTATTGCAGTAATTTTACCTATTACACAGGGAGCAGAACTGAATTTTAGGTTCCAACCGCTGTTAAATTACACGTGCTGGAGGGTGCGGTGACTTATTTTCCCCTCATCTGCTAGCCAAATACATTACCTTCTCGCACCGAACCCAGGCTGTTGCATCAGTTCTCTGTTAGTAATTTACACTCCTCCTCCCTTTTTTGCTCTAAAACATGAAAAAGTTTGCACAGCCAAGAGCAGGTCACCTCTCGCTGTTAAGATACCTGGCCAAAAATCCAGCAGCACTCATCCAAATGACATCACAGCGTCTTAAACCACAACTTCTGCTGTCTTTTCTCTCTCTCTTTTTCATTTGAAGCCACAGTTTATAAACTTCTAGGCCTTAGTGGAACTGGCCTGTCTTGTGCACTACAGCTTGTTTTGATTCATTGTTTGGTCTTATTGTCCATGGCTACATAAAAACATGTAATGCAGTCCTTAATGCCTTAAAGATCCAGGGTTGAAAGCTGGGTGTAGAGGGGTTTTTAGTGCTTTGTGTAGAAATTACAATAATCTTTTGTGGCTGGGACCATTTATAAAGTTCAGCTGTGTGACAGTTGTGTTTTAAGCATGCATATAATTGATCAAATTATATAAATTATCAACTCCAATTTCAAACTGTGGAACATCTTTGTCAGCCAGGTTAAAAAAAAAAAGTATATTTTAAATAAGTGGATGTGACAGATTTAACTAATTAAAGATGCATTCACATAAGCATAATTAGTACTGCATACAAAATTAAAACAAAGCAGGATTCTATTGGTCCACAAAATAAATCGCATGACCAGTTTTTCTTTCAAAATTGTTAGAATTGAGAGGTCTGCAATTTGCAAATATGAGGGATATATTAAGTTTGTGAATGTAACCTAAAATAAGACATAAATGAATAAAGCTATAACCTATAAGTATGATGACGGGAAGTTCAATTCATTTGAATATAGTTAAAATGTTACATATTAATTACCTAGCATAAATTACAAAACACATGCAAAAGATGTCATCTTGAAGACAAAACTATAATGCATCTATGAAATTATCAGAGACCCTGAGGATAAAATCATTGTTTAACTGGGTCTCCAGGCTTTGCAGTTTAAGGATGCGTTCACACCTGTAGATTGTTTTGTTCTGAAACAGGGATTAATATTGTTACAATGTTATTTTTTGTTCCTCATACGATTCGCTTTTACACGGCAAAGTATTTAAACGAAACAAAACAGTTAAAACAAGTCATGTGCGAGTAAACTCTCCTCACAATGTTCAGAGTTTCAGGGTTTATTTTCAGAGTCCCACAGATTCTGCTCAGCTACCTCATTATTTAAATTTATGATGATTAGCAATAAGGCATTATAAGTGAAAAGGTGCACTTTATTTTGACACCCACAGATATTGTCACCAAATATAAATAAGAGAGGTCAGACTTTCTCATTTCAGTCAAGTTTTGCAAAAATCTATTTATTGAATCAATCAGTCTATATCAGTTGTAGGGAACCTATGACTCACGAGCCACAAGTAGCTCTTTGACCAAAATATGCGGCTCTCCAGCTGTCTTCCTTCAATATTATTTTACTGTTTAAAAAACCATAACCATCACTAAAAATCAGTTTCCTATCGAAAATACAGTTACAATCCCCTTTTAAATTGTAATTTTATACAGCAGAATCAATAAGAACTTAGTTAACAGTATAAGGACATTTCGACCAATGTTTGTTTTTGGCAATGTGGATAAACTTGAATTGTGACACCATTAAAGGGCAATCAACTTATGTTTCTATGATAACTTAAATTCAAAGAACATTCATGAGTGGTGATGGTGAAAATAAAAATAATCTAAATTGTTCTTTTTTTCATTCATAGACTTCAGATTTGTTTATTTTTGAGTTGTGCATGGACATAAATTAAGGTTTTGTTAAAACTTGTATTATTTATAGTAATATAATAATAACAATAATAAAAACATAGTATTAGTAGTAATACTATAATATTTTAGTAATTTATAGTAATACAGTAGCAAATGCATTTTTAAAGAGGCATTTTGAGATATACAGTAAAGTCAGAATTATTATACCCCTTTGTAATTTTTTTCTTTTTTAAATATTTCCCAAATGATGTGTAACAGAGCAAGGAAATTTTCACAGTATGTCTGATAATATATATTTTTTTTTTTCTGGAGAAAGTCTTATTTGTTTTATTTTAGCTAGAATAAAAGCAGTTTTAACTTAAAAAAAAAACATTAAGGTCAATATTATTAGCCCCTTTAAGTTAGTTTTTTTCCGATAGTCTACAGAACAAACCATTGTTATACAATAACTTGCCTAATTATCCTAATCTGCCTAGTTAACCTAATTAACCTTGTTAATCATCATGTCATCATGGCAAAGATAAAATCAGTTATCAGAAATGAGTTATTAAAACTATTATGTTTTAAAATGTGCTAGAAAAATCTGCTCTTCGTTAAACAGTAATTGGGGAAAGAATAAACCGGGCTAATATTTCAGGAAGGCTAATAATTCTGACTTCAACTGTACACACATCCAAACGGCTCTTTAAAAAAATGCATTTGCTAAAAAAACAGAAATGGCTTTTTGCTGAAAAAAGGTTCTCGACCCCTGGTCTATATAAAAAAGTGTGTGCTTTAAAATGACACATTATAGGGTTAGATTATAGAGAGAAATAACAGATTAAGACTGCAGTCAGATCATGAAGCAAATCAATGTTGATCTTTCTTTCAAGGTGTCAGTGGAGAAATGAACAAAACAATAGACCTAATACAAAATAATATAATCAATCATTATCATTTCGGTCAATTTTTCTAACACATAAACAGCCCACTGTAATATTTCAGCAAGCTTTCACTTTCATATTTGACATGTAATGCACATTTACCAGTAGGAATAATGGCATCCTAGCCTACTCATCATTCTCTCTTCATTTAGTTTTATGTATGGCAGCTACATAGACACAATACACTGTGATATAGCCTGGATCGTTTTGCTTTCTCACTACAATCAATCTGCTCCAAAGTTCATTTCAGTCAAGCTGGGACTACCTCATTTAGGCGATCTTGGGATTGCTGGATTCACATATGCCAAAAAAAAACACTCCAACTGGACAAATGAGACACGTTCCAAAATGTCTAGGTGTGAAACCACCATAAGATAGCTCATTTCACATGTCCTAGTCCTCAGGTAGTTCACTGGTTATATTGTAACATCACAAGTCACACCTCCTTGAAATACAGTTAAGCAAGCTGTCCTGGTCCAATAACAGACAAGATTATTTAAGTCTCATATCCTCTGGTTTTAAGTCATCTGTTTAGCAAGTGGCAGCACCATGGATTAAAAATTGATGGTGAGCCAGTCCATGAATATGTATTTATTTCATTCATTTCTCTAGGTTTCGGGAAAAGATGTAATTGTACATTGCCCAGCATTTCTGGGTAGCTGCTGTCTGCATTCCAAGTCCCTTATAAAGCACATTTTCACCATGTTAACAGCCAACACTATGATTCCTGTCAGACAGAATGATGGTCAGTGACAGAGGCACAAATTATCAAAGTTATGATTGGTCGGAAAACCTGTCAATCCAGCAAACAGTCAATTGTACATGAGACACCAGCAGAACCCTGCAATACAAACTTTTTTTTTTTTACTGAATTTAAAATAAATAGAGCATCTGTAATTATTCAAACCCCCTTTTTGTGATTTTTTTGTGATAAAGAGTTAATTCCCAGAAATTTGCGAGCAATTTTGCGATAAATAAATCAGGTGTGCAATCTGACACAATGACAATGACACAAATCATAAAAATAAAGCTTCTTTATTTTGGTCTCTTGTCAAGACAAGATCATAAACTAGATCTAGAACGGAAGGGATTAAGTCAAAGGAAGGTTGTAGAACTATTACTTTACTCCCCGGAGCATCTGACATCATGTACCCCACTCAGGACATGCGTTAGGGCTTCCCCTACCGTAATACACCCAAAACACGGATTGCCGTAAAACTCGTCAATAGGAGGAAATCGTTTTCTCTCGTCAACAACAGGGAAAGAGTTAAACGATATCATTTATTGATTAGATGTAAATCATATTAGCCATACATGTAAAGCAAAAATAATGTCCTTTAATCTGGTCATGTCCAACGGCCCTCATCCTTGAACCAATCTCCATCTTTGTAAGCTGCTTTGTTTTTCCTCCGTTCCACTGCTCTGTTTGTTAGATGTTTGCTCCCACTTTCTTTTGCAGTCTGAAGTGCATCAAACGCACAAAACACCCAATTCGCGTCACAGGATGCCTAATACAATTTTTGCATTGACTTCACATGTAAATAACTCGCGCTTCATCCCCGTCTGCTTACTGCACAGGCTGCAAAACATTTCCTCCCACTCTTATGTAATGTAATAATTGTGTGACATGTCATTTTTTGAGAGACACTAAAATACATCACGGGCGCTGCGTAAGCAACATCTATAAGTCATGTAAAACAATAAATTGCAAACTTAAATAAATATAATGTGATTATATGGTTTGGAATTGGATGTTTTATGAGATTATTTACATTTTTTTATTTCACGTTTAATTAAGAATTTTGCAGGATCACTAAAATTTGCTACTTTTTGTGATTTTGCATTGGATTCAGCAATGGCGGAATCGTGAAAAACTAGGGGATCTGATTATTGTATTTCACTTTGTATTTCTTTTAATCAGAAAAGTACTCCAAAATAAACATTAATGAAGTGCAATTTGATCTTCTGCAGGAAAGAGGCCTCATGAATGCGGGATCTGCAGCAAGGCCTTCAAACACAAGCACCACCTAATAGAGCACCTGCGCTTGCACTCTGGAGAAAAGCCCTATCAGTGTGACAAGTGCGGGAAACGCTTCTCCCACTCTGGTTCCTACTCACAACACATGAATCATAGATATTCCTACTGTAAGAAAGAGGCTCAAGGCCAAGGGCTAGGCCAAGGAGTGGAAGAAGAGGACAATCCTGGTGAGGAGCAGCCTCAGACGGGCAGTACAGCGACCTCGCCTCCATCCCACCTGGACTCAGATGAGCGGGGGAGCAGTACAAGGGACGATGAAAGCGAGGAGGAGGACGAGATGGGCTCAGGGAGCTTAGTTGACGAGGATGAAATTCAGGTAGTCAAGATTGGAGAGGAGGGAGATGAAGACGATCAGGGAGCAGATGAAGACCAGGAGAGGATGGAGGAAGATGGTGATGAGGAAGGTGAGGGTGAGACGCTGAAAGTCGTGGTGATGCAAGATGAATGTGAAGAGGATGAAAACGAAGAGGATGAGCAAACGTCGGAGGATGCCATGGACACCAGTGACCACACGGAGGAAATGACAGAAAGAAAGACCCCAGGGGACAATAAGAACATTGGTGAACATGAAGGAAACACAGCCGCTATGAATGGAGATGTGAAATGAAGATTCCTTACGACGGTGTTTTACAAAGTTACTAATTTGAAGGAACCAACAAAAAGACGTTTTCTTTCAGCAGATGTTTCTCTCTCTTCCTGAGAACTGACTGTGTTAAGAGGAGAATGAGACGAGGAAGAGTGCGTGACGCTCTTGCGCTGCATTTAAACCCACTACTGTGTATAAACCCCCAGGTGTGCCTGAAAAATACAAAAGAGTTACTCTTTTTCCACATAAAGACAATTTTCTGTGTTTGAGTATGGTTTGTACAAATGCAAAGTTTAACACAAAAAAACAAAAACAAAAATGACGCATATATGAACTGAAAGCTATACACGTTTTGGCTAATAATGTTTTATTACTAAAACGCCTTGGGTCAATTTCTTTTATCAGTATTACTAATTTTTTGTCACTCTCGGTTTACCCTCAGAAGCTGTACAGTTGGGAGAGAGAGATTTCTATACGTTTTTATTGCCAATGAACAAAACTCAGTATTTTCTTGCATTTAAAAGAGTATCCTGTGCACTACCATATTCCCAGTTTACCTTCGGAACACCTATGTGGGCCTTGTGTTGTTTAATGTCTACCTTCCAGTATTAGTGCCCCAGACGATATTCCTTAAGCCACGCTAGCGCTCGCTAGCACACCATTTGTCCATCGTCTCATTTCCCAACGAACTGTGAGCCTTAAATGTTAAAAGATTGATGTGGTAATGGTGGGAGGGCTTTCACGAATCCCCTAAAAGAAGCCAAGACATCAAAGAAAAACCTTAGTAATCCTGGACAGCTGGTTTTAGACGGTGATCGCCATCAGCTCCTTCCCCACCCATTATCCACCCTTATGCAAAAACATGCATGTTGGAAGTGCCATTGAACAGTGCTGTGCCGTTGCTGTGACGCCGTTGCGAAGCAGCACATTCGCGTGGGGCTCATGCTGTCTTCGTTTTTTTGGTAGCAAAATTTTGGAACCCTGCACCTAAACCACTAGTCCTAAGTGAAGGACAAGACTGCCTATTTCTTTTTCTTTTTTTAATCAATCCAGTAAGGACTACACTGCATCAAGAATTCAGGAAAGAGGATCGATAAGCAAAAAGGAGAAAAAAAAATACGCTCTTTTTTCAGCCTTGAAGTATTTTCCCCTGTTTGGTGCACTTGTTTCTCTTGTAATCTTTAGCTGCACGACACTTTTTCTTCAGGTAACAAATGTAGGCAGATACGATCAACGAAGAATTCACTTTTAGTTTCTTTTGGGTCAGCCTTTTTACCTGTCAGTATTAATTTTTGTCTCGTTTGTATTGAAGTTTCTTTGTTGCTTGTTTCAGTGAACATTGTGTAAGTTTGTTTGTTTGTTTTGTTTTTCAGTAAAGGCAGTATTATCCCTCCCATCCCTCACCATTATAACTTTACATTTTTAGTTTTAGAGACCTTTTATATTTATGTGTCTTATTTTTGTATTTTCGTTATGGTTATTTATTACACAATGTAGTGTACAATACTGTAGTTTGTATTAATACAATAATATATTTTAGTATGAAGAATAATTTCGAAGATAAATGAATTCAAAGCTGGGGGCGAAACTCCAGCATTTCGAGTGTTTTAAAACTGAAAAAAGTATTATTTTCAAAGTTTCTGAATGCACCGTTTGAAGAACAGAAAAAAACACACACCCCTAAAGTATATCAGAACTGTTACCTTTTACATGTCACTTTCATGTTTCTGTCTCTTACCCCACTATACTTTGAAGCTACTGAACGTCTAACTGTATGCTATACACGCATGAGTCTTTGCTGTTGTATCGAAAGATTGTCCCTCGCCATGAAACTGTGCTGCCCTTTTTAATGAAGCCAAAACATCATCAGTGTGTTGTTTTTATTATTGTTATTATTTCCGGTTGTGCCAATTTGTAACTTTGTCTACATCGAGGCAACAGTCTTTTGTATGTCCCTGTTTTAACCTTTTTTAGTGATAGCTTTTTTGTTTGATCGTTTTTCATTTCTTTGTTTTTTTAATGAATCCCCATCTCACAATAAAATACTTCAAGAATTCAACATGTACAGCTTTTCTAGCATATTTCCTTTACAGGAGATACAAATCTTCATATTTTGATTACAATGTATAATGAATTTGTTAGTGAAAAACCGAGACATTCACTTTGTATTCAATCCCTCAGCACTAACGAAAAGCATTGATTAGGATCAGGTTGCCATGCTGGGTTTTGGATGGAGAGTTTTGAATTATTAATGCAACGAAACATAAATCTATGATCTGACTAAAGTCTGAAAATGATTTTATGTGTGATGCTGTATAGAGAATAGGCTCAGCATTGAGCTGAGCTATTCTTGAGTGTCAAACTTTAAGAATTACCCTGCAGGCACACAACATCATAAGACGTTAATGTTAGGTTAGATTTATCATAATCCAACATCTGGTAGATGTCATAGTGGTAACGTCCACTCAACATCAAGGTGTAACATGATTAGACGTTGATATGTGGTTGATTTTAGGTTGTGTTGGGAAGTGACCAAAATCCAACGTCTGATAGATGTCATAGTGGTAACTTCCACACAACGTCATGGTGTAACATAATTAGACGTTGATATTTGGTTGGACATAGATGTCGGCCTGGCGTTGAGTTTTAACGTCAACCCAATTTTCATTTCCAAACAAAATCCAACGTCATGGGGTACAATGTCAATAAGACATCATGTTGACGTCCTGTGTCTGGTAGTTCAAAGCAGAACCTGGATTTTTAATGCAATTTTAGAAGGAAACGTTTGATTTCTGAATAAACTGTCTTTGAACATCTATCAAACTGTAGATTTGCCATGCCGACTTAAGCTGAACACTCTGAAAAACACACTTTAGGCTGGATATGTGTGCACACAGAATGAAACGAGAGCCCTGTGTCTCCTGCGGTAGCTGAAAGCTGATGGACAACAGCACAGGAACAAGCCAAGAGTGGAAGCAGAGAACAGAACATCCCCTGGGAAATTTAGCGGATAGCACAATCAAATACAAATAGCCTACATCTGTGCTCAAAACATTAGCCTTTACTTAAAAATCATGTTCATTTTAGCCTAGCACTGGATTTCACCGAGCGTAGGCTTGAGGATTAACGCCACAGTGATTTTCCCATCAATATTTTACTTGGATCGTTTCAGCACACTTGATTTTAATAAACAGTTTTATAGGTGGAACAAGCACAGTTCAAGTTGATTGTATTTATTGTAGAAAAGCTCTTCAATTCTTATTGTGAAGCAAAATGAAATGGTTTGATATTGTCAGCATTTCCACGGTTTGGATGGTAATCAGTGTTAGGAAGTTTATAAGTTATTTTATGAGGATCTTTATGTCAAATATGAAGTTCAGTTTGCCAAAAGAAATTCCAGGCCCAAGTACTCAATGCATAACTGTATTAATCAGGTAAGTGCCTCTATACTGTAGCAAAAACATAAACAAAAAATGATAAACAAAAATACATTAATGTGTCAGCACCAAAAGCCTGAGTATTGGGCATATAAAGTTTGAGTCCTAGCTCCCGACCCCATCCCCCCTCTCTCCAACTTCACTTCCTTTCTAATATATAGTACTATGCTAATTTGTAGTCCTAATTCACACCTTTGGGTTTTTTTTGCAATATTTTCTTTTAGGTTGTTTACAGAAGAAACCACTGCCCTACAAACCATTTACTGTAACTTGCCTATAATTAACCAAGTTAAGCTTTTAAATTTCACTTTAAGCTGTATAGAAGTGTCTTGAAAATATCTAGTATAATATTATTTACTGTCATCATGGCAAAGATAATATACATGAGTTATTAGAAATGAGTTATTAAAACTATTATGTTCAGAAATATACAGGGAGGCTAATAATTCAGGAGGGGTAATTCTTCAACTACATGCACACATATGCTAACACTTTACTTGAAGGGGTGTTCACAAGACTGTCAACAAATCTTTAAAGTAATGACATAATACACGTCATGAAGGTGAATGAGATTTTTGCATGCTTATAACAACTGCCATTAGTTCAAATATGACAATTTAAATGCAAAGATGACAGAAGCTATGTTTTCATCCAAAGAAATGTATGCGCACACCTGGAATATCGCATATAAGACATGCGAATAAAGCGGCGTTTCCATTCGAGTAGTCAAAGAGAACAAAATCATCACTTCCTGATTAACTGACACCAAATATCAACAGTAAAAACGGAATTTACAGGCAGTATGCTGACACACGATAAATGCGTGTTGGCATTTAAAGGCATCAGACGCGGAGCAAAGGCGCTCTTGACAATTCTTGAGGTCATTAATAATATAATAACGCTAATACAGAAATTATTAGAATGACCAAACAACATTTCAGATGCATTTACAGTGTGCTCAGCCAGCTGGTTTGTCCATTTACACATTTTTATCATCACATGACCTCTTATAACAAAATCAGAGAACATTTTAATGCACATTTTGTCTTATTCTTGTCAACTTGACATTATCAAACAAAAAAAAACTTGTTATAAATCTGTCATAAACATGATTGTCATGAATTTGTCATTAAAATGTCAATAAATAATAATGACGCTCCTTTACATATATTTGACAGAATATTGACACTTTTAATGAAACTTTTAAAAGACAAATTCAGTTTGTTCCACTAAGAAAAGTTATCAGAAAAATACTTATGACACACTTATAATGGCCCCATGACAATCATGTTTGTGACACATTTATGACAAGTTTTGTTGTTTTGATAATGTCAGGCTTTCATGACAAAAAAACAGACCCGTTGTGATGTATTTGTTTATGTCAAGTTGTCAAACAATATATATTACCTACAAAACATATATTACTTTATTATATAGTGCTTTAAGTGCAAAAAGCAATGCTGTATAATTATTTTGTCCATCCAAGCAGTCAAAGAGGCCCACCCAAGATGTACATATATTTAAAACGCTTTATTGCTTATATTTAAGTGATGTTTCGTCATACATGTATAATACAGTATACTGCAAATTGAATATAATCTATATTATGCTGAAATTCTGTGGTGTGTCTGATAAACTATAGTCATGTGTAGGGCCCAACATAATATAAAGACACCTTTGAGCTTTTATGACCAATAATCAGCCATCCAGATCACCAAGCAACCACATAGAAACAGTAGAAACACTCCAAAAACACACTTAAATGTTAAAACGATTCCTTCATACCTTCATAAAGCAGCGACATTACCCTTCTTGATATCACATGCAAGTCTCATAATGGCAGACGGTCACTTTTGGCCAAACCTCTGAAACGAGACAAATGACCATTTCAAAGTTTCTTTCTTCAAACAGTGAAGTGACAAACAAGAATCATGCTTTAAAATGCTGCTCAAACGCTCAAACATCAGCAGTGTTTGTTGTGAAGGTCTCTGCGCACTCTTTTGATCTCAGCATGTTGCCGCCACACTCCTCAGCTGCTAAGACCAAACCTGACCACAAGTTTCTGATGTTTATATAAGGCTGTGCCCCTCCATTTACTCTCTAATGAGCTTCTAATCATTTGCACCTGTGCTAAAGTGCACCTGATTTTCATTTGGAGTGTTTGCTGCATGTGGAAATGGCATTTCTGTTTATTTAAATAGTACAAATGACTGCGCAGCCTTACTCAACCTTACATGACCTCACGTAAATCCTTCTATTTGATTGTGATCCAGCTGAGAATACATCAACGAGACTGGATACTAACACTATGCCACATGCGCTAACAAACATGCACACGCACATTGTTATGGACCGATACAAATAACTAATATCTATTACAGTAACATGCTGTTACAAATGTTGCTGATGATGATGTATTTGTAATACCATCCTCCTTTGGAGACTGTAAGAAAAGATATAAACATCACTGATGTAATATGAGCTAACAAACTGGAGGTTTATGCTGAGCATGAAGTTATTGAAGAGCTATACGTAATCTCTACTGTATATCAGCGTCTTTGCTTGCTTCTCAGATTGTACATTTCATCAGATTTGGCTATAAAATACAAAACAGGAAACAAGAACTTTAAAACAAGCACAGTTACCTTTTTACAATGTGTAAATGCTTGAAAATGCAGTTATTTATTTTTCATCAGCAGCAAAAAAACAAAAACAAAACAAAACAAAAAAACATCTGAATCAATTTTGTTCACGCGAGTTAAATTATAGCATCCTTAAAACAAGCAAATCTAATCTTCTTAAAGGGTGGCCATGTCTGCTAATTTGATAAGGATAATTAAATAAATTAAAAATAACTAAATAAAGCAATCCTTGATGATTATAATTAAAGGTCAGGGCAAAAACCATTAAAATATTAGCAATATTTGAAAAAAAAAAATCCTTGAAACAAACAAAAGCACATTAAATCGTGGAAATGCCTGAAACGTTTTCTGAAAGTAACTTAATCATAATGATTATAATTCAGATTATTATTTCAATTTATGCAACACACATATTTAAACAGATTGGGTTCAACAAAGTGCAGTTCCATGCAAAACTACAAGCAAATCTATGATTAAAAGTTTTTTTCAGCTTTATTTGTACAGCGCTTTTACAGTGTAGATTGTATCAAATGCTTAATTGTATTTATTTGACTGCAGTTCAAAAGTATATCTAAAAAAATATGTATGCATTTAAAGTAGGCATGGGGCACTAAACAGTCTCAGGGTTTACTATGGTTTGGAAAAGTAACAGTTTTAAAACCAATACAGTAATACCGTTCCTCTGGTACATATAGTAGGGCTGCACAAAATATTGTTTCAACATCAATATCGCAATGTATACTGTCTACTCTGTTTTTGTGAAACATTGTTCATTCATAGAATTTAAATCACTGTTTTCTTAGCTTTAAATAGGTATAGCTATCAAGGGTTAAAGCTGTTGTATCTCAGAGTTGTGACAGTTGCAACAGCATGTTGCAATTACAATTACAATATCCCTTTAACTGTCTGCTCTACCGAATGGTTGACCATATATTGACTGTTTTAAATAATGACTAATTTTTAAATAAGAAGTAATTT